TAGGTGCAGTGGCATGTGTCTCTCATTCCAGCTAATCAGGAGGCCACAAGAGAGGATTGCTTGAGACTAGGCATTTGAGACAAGCCTGGGCAACATGGCAAAACCCTGTCTCAAATAAATGGCCCCAATAACCCAAAACCACAAAAAACTTTTTTATTTGAATATATGAAAAATAGGCTGAGCACAGTGGTTGATGCCTATAATGTCAGCACTCTGGGATGTTGAGGCAGGAGAATTGCTTGAGCTCAGGAGTTGGAGGCCAGTCTGGACAACATGGCAGTACCCTTTCTCTACAAAAAATATAAAAATTAGCAGGCGTAGTGGCATGCAACTGTAGTCCTAGCTACTTGGAGGCTGAGGCGGAAGGATCACTTGAGTCTGGGAGTTCTAGGTTGCAGTGAGCCATGATTCCACGACTGCACTCCAGCCAGGGTGACCGAGGGAGACCCTATCTCAAAAAAAAAAAAAAGAAAACTTATATCTGATTGTTTTAATGTGAATTTATTTATTTGGTTTATGAGTCTGATCTTTTGGATAGTTGTTGGCCTTTTTCTGTTTTATTCTTTCTGCTCTGATGGACTTTATTCATATTTGTTGCGAATTCTCTCCTATTTTTTCTGTTAAGGCACATGGAAATCGTATAGGCTGTCTTTGAAGTCACAGTGACCCCCAGTGGCAAAGGCTGGTAATGTTCCAGTGGCTCATTCTCATTTGTGGCCAGAAGAGATGCAGCCAGTGTGAGATCTGCTTAATGTCCCAGAATGACCAGACTGGAAGGCGCTACAGACCTGCTGGCACAGTTAGCTGGGAGGGACACTAAGATCAGATAGGGCAGGGAAGAAAGTGGCGTGGGTGACTGAAGAGTCATTTGTCAAATTGGAACCAGAATCCAGGATGATGGATCTCCTGAATGCCTGGCTGGAAAACCCAGCAACAAGCTTTGAAAACATGTCACCTGGACACCAGGGGCTGAAGTTGTCCTGGGTGGGAGGTTTTGCCTACTCCATGGAGCGAGAGAAGCGGGGACACCAGACGTCGACCCTGGGGTGTGCCTCCTGGGGGGCTCTGGTGGCTGGCGTGGGGTGGGTGTGGACCCTCTGGACTGCTCCTGCCTTCCTGACTTTGCTGTTCTGGAGCTAGACCCCAGGGAAAGCATTCTGGATCCTTTTCCCCCCCACCACATCTTTCCTATCAGTGCACGTCACCTACGAGAACAGATGATGGTCACTCGGCTTTGGATGTTGTGGATGGTGTGGATGAGATGCAGGGTGCTCATGTGCCCTTGTTGCGTGTGGTCCACAGATCTTGGGATCGTCCTCAGCGTGGCCTTGGGGAATGAGCATTTGGAGATGTGGCCCTTGACGCAGAGCGAGGAGTGCACTGTCACGGGTTTTCTGCGGGACAAACTGCAGTACAGGAACCGACTTCAGTACATGGTAACGACGTGGGCACCAGCTGTGTCCCTGTCCCTGAGGGCTGGGGCTCACCTGGCATAGGTCTCTGGACATTCAGGGCCCTTCCTAGGACCTGTGTCAGCCCTGAGCAGACCATGGCCCGTTTCTCTGCCTTTCTCTGAAACCTACACATGCACCTGGTCTGCACTTACCGACCCCTCTCCTGCCATCTCCTGGGTCCACCAGCCCTCCTCCTTGGTCTCATTTTAATCCTTCATGGCGGCACTTGCCATATGACTCAGGAACGGACACCTGGAGTTCTCTGAGGAACCCCAGGCACTTATTAGCCGGGGAGATAAAGACCTAGAAATTGGAGCGTTTGGTTCTTTTTGTTGAGTGGAAATATCTGTGTGGCTCTATGCTTTCTTTCTTTGTTTATTTCTTTTTTTTTTTTTTTTTTTTTTTTAAAAAATTTTTTTTTTTTTTTTTGAGACAGGGTCTTGCTCTCTTGCCCAAGCTGGAGTGCAATGGCATAATCTCAGCTCACTGCAACTTCCACCTCCCAGGCTCAAATGATCCTCCCACCTCAGCCTTGCTAGTAGCTGGGACTACAGGCATGCGCTATAGTCCCATACCCAGCTAATTAAAACTTTTTTTTTTTTTGAGATGGAGTCTTGCTGCCCAGGCTGGAGTGCAATGGCATGATCTCGGCTCACCTTAACCTCCACCTCCTGGGTTCAAGCGATTCTCCTGCCTCCGCCTCCTGAGTAGCTGGGATTACAGGTGGGTGCCACCATGTCCAGCTAATTTTTGTATTTCTAGTAGAGAAGGGGTTTCACCATGTTGGCCAGGCTGGTCTTGAACTCCTGACCTTGTGATCCGCCCACCTCAGCCTCCCAAAGTGCTGGGATTCCAGGCGTGAGCCACCATGCTAACCTATGTATCTTTTAAAAGTAATTAACTGTTAGAGACAGGGTGTCACTGTTGTCCAGGCTGGAGTGTAGTGGTGAGATCACAGCTCAGTGTAACCTCAGACTCCTTAGCTCAAGTGAATCTGTCTCAGCCTCCCAAAGTGCTGGGATTATAGGCATAAGCCACTGCACCTTGTGAGTGTCTTTTTTAACAGCTTTACTGACATACAGTTTATGTATTTATGTATGAGACATAATTCACCCCCTTAAAGTGCACAACTCAATGGTTTTTAGTGTGTTCACAGAGCTGTGCAACCATCACATAATAATATATTTTTCTTGAAGTAGCGTGTCCTCACTCTTGAGCCTGAAACTTCTGCCTTAACAGGAATTGTGTGTTTTGTTCCACCCTCCCTGTGCCCCAGAGGAAAGTGAGCTGTTTTTATCCCAGCTGTGAGCCAGGCATACCTCTCTGAACAGGACCACCTCTGCCATCAAAGGGCTGGGCCCTGAGTCCTCTCCTCTTACATCAAAATTCATCTGGAGGCCAGGTGTTGTGGTTCATGCCTGTAATCCCAGCACTTTGGGAGGCCAAGGTGGGAGGATCGTTTAAGCCCAGGAGTTCAAGACCAGCCTGGGCAACATGATGAAACCCCATCTCTACAAAAAATTAAGGCATTATCTGGGCATGGTGCCGCACACCTGTAGTCCCAGCTACTTGGGAGGTTGAGGTGGGAAGCTTGCCTGAGCCTGAGAGGTTGAGGCTTCAGTGAGCCATGATCCTGCCCCTTCACTCCAGACCGGATGACAGAGTAAGACTAACTTTAAAAAAAAGATCATTTGGGAGGTTGGGGAGCCTGCTGGTCATTTCCACTTCTGGCCTCATGGTTTGTTCTTGTGCCTCTCTAGAAATACTACTTCCCCATCAACTACAAGATTGGCGTGCCTTACGAGGAGGTGTTCAGAATTGCCAATGTCACCAGGCTGGTGAGAATCCCCTGCTGGGCTGGGGGGACCCTGCCTCCCATGACATCCAGTGGGCCCCATCCTCAGAGGTGCACTGGGCTTGGCAGGTGGTGCTGCTGGCCTGGGGCCTCTCCCCAGCCTGACAGCAGATTAGCCCTGGTGCCTGGGCCAAGGACCAGCCTGCTCTCGGGGCTGGGGAGAGGCCCCAGGCCAGCAGCACCAGCTGCATTCACTGTCTGCAGCGGACGCCCCTGTCTGCTCCCTCTGCAGGGGCAAGTCCCTGGTGAGAGGGTGGTCCGAGCCCAGAGGGCTCGTGTCTCGGGGGTTGCAGTGACTTCCCTGTCTCTGCAGCAGAGGGCCCGGGTGAGCGAGCGGGAGTTGCGGTATCTGTGGGTCTTGGTGAGTCTCAGTGCCACTGAGTCGGTGCAGGATGTGCTGCTCGAGGGCCACCCGTCCTGGAAGTATCTGCAGGAGGTGCAGACGCTGCTGCTGGATGTCCAGCGGGGCCTCACGGTGAGCCGTGCAGCGGGTGGCAGGCAGGGCGTGTGTGTGCACAGGTGCGTGCATGTGTGTGTATGAGTCTATGAGGTGTGGCCAAGGGCTGGTGAGGAGAGGGGTGAACACACGGGAAGATGGCACCAACTGAGGGGCGTGGGAAAGTGGGGGAGGGGTGCAGGCAGGAAAAGAAGCCTGTGGAAGGAGGAGGCGGTCACTGTTTCATGCCAACCAGGCTCGGGGTACAGGAGATGCCCCTGAGACTCTGTTCTAGCTTCTGCCTCTCTCCCTGTGGATCCTGGGCCAGTCATCCTACCCTCTTTGTTTCTGCAACATGAGGGTCGTGGAGGTGGGGGAGGGGGAGTGGGGAAGAATAGATGGAGCACAGGGTATGTTTGGGGCAGTGAAACTGTGCTGCAGGCCGACCATGTCTCATGCCTGTAATCCCAGCACTTTGGGAGGCTGAGGCGGGTGGATCACCTGAGGTCAGGAATTTGAGATCAGCCTGGCCAACATGATGAAACCTGTCTCTACTAAAAATATAAAAAGTGGCCGGGTGTGGTGGTGCACACCTGTAATCCCAGCTACTTGGGAGGCTGAGGCAGGAGAATTGCTTGAACCTGGGAGGTGGAGGTTGCAGTGAGCCGAGATCCCATCATTGCACTCCAGCCTGGGTGACAAGAGTGAAAAGCCCTGTCTCAAAATAACAACAACAAAAACAAAAAAAGCCAAAAACCCTGCAAACTATGCTGTATAATACGTTCATGGTGGATACGTGACAGCACACATTTGTCACAACCCACAGAACTGTACAACACAGAGTGTGAACACTAATGTAAATTATGAACTTTAGTTAATTAAAAAAAAAAAACAAAGAGATTCCCCTATCTCCACCCCACTCAGAGAAATTGATCTGAGGCCTCAGGGATATTGTCCTCTAAAGAGCCTGAGTTGTAGTAAAAAAACAAGGTGGCAGGATGACCCATGCAGGCTGTGTGTGCTGTGGGACCCCTCCCTGTCCCCACCTACCCTCCTCAGGAGTCTGGTGCACACCTGTCCTGGGGACCCACCTGCTGCCCTGCTTAGCCAGCTGCTGACAAGGCCCAGCCTGCGGGCAGAGCATCCCAGGCCAACTGTAAGCTTCGGATGGCAAAAGGGCTTAGGGACCAGCACCTGTTTTTGCAGCTGCCTAGAGCTTTCCTGGGAGGAGACTGGTGGGAAGGCTCCCAATTATTACAAAGCCAGGAGACTCCTTGATCTCCTTGGTGGCTCTTTTTCTTGTTTATTTCATTTCATTTCATTTATTTATTATTTTAGAGATGGGGGTCTCGCTATGTTTCCCAGGCTGGCCTTGAACCCTGGGCCTCAAATGATATTCCTGCCTCAGTCTCCCAAAGTCCTGGGGTTACAGGCATTAGCCACCCTGCCTGGCCTCTGTGATGGCTTTTGTTTGTTTTGTTTTGAGATGGAGTCTCACTCTGCCACCCAGGCTGGAGTGCAGTGGCGCGATCTTGGCTCACTGCAACCTCCACCTCCGGGGTTCAAGCAGTTTTCCTGCCTCAGCCTCCTGAGTAGCTGGGGTTAGAGGTGCCTGCCACCATGCCTATTTTTGTATTTTTAGTAGAGATGGGGTTTCGCCATGTTGGTCAGTTTGGTTTTGAACTCCTGGCCTCAAGTGATCTGCCTGCCTCAACCTCCCAAAGCGCTGGGATTACAGGTGTGAGCTGCCACGCCCGGACGTCTCAGTCTTTTCATGGCCTTCCGCCTGGTGTTTCCATGTCTCTGTGACCTTTCTCTTACAAGGACATCAGTCATTGGATTAGGGCCTACCCTAAATCCAGGATGATGTCCTTCTGAGATCCTCTGCAAACACTCTATTTCCAAATAGGGTCACCTTTACAGGTACCAAGGGGTAGGACCAAGACACAATTTTTTTTTTTTTTTTTTTTGCTCTTGTTGCCCAGGCTGGAGTGCAATGGCGCAATCTTGGCTCACTGCAACCTCCGCCTCCCAGGTTCAAGCGATCCTCCTGCCTCACCCTCACGAGAAACTGGGATTACAGGTGTGCACCACCAGGCCCAGCTAATTTTGTATTTTTAGTAGAAACGGGTTTCTCCTTGTTGGTCAGGCTGGTCTTGAACTCCTGACCTCAGATGATCCACCTACCTCAGCCTCCCAAAGTGCTGGGATTACAGGCTTGAGCCACTGCACCTGGCCAAGACACAGCTTTTGGGGGGGAGGAGACGGACACAGTTTGGCCCAGGACATGTTGCCTGGGCTGTCACCCCTTTCCAGAAGATCATCCCCCACCTTTCCCATGATGCTTTCTACAGTGGCCCTGACCTCCTGCCTGGGGACTTCCCTCCCTCGGTGCCACGGTGCACCCCGCATGACCCTTTTGTTGAGTCTCGTGGAGAGAAACCACCCGAGCTTGGAGCTGGACATCCTGCCCTGCCTATGTGACTTAAGCCTCAGTGTCCCTATGAGGGCCTTCTGTTGTTCCTTGGAGTTGATGGAAGTCTTTGCTTCCTGAAGGACAGTTTCCCCAGGTCAGGGGGTCCTCACGTGGTGGTGGGTGGCCGTTCCTGGGCGTGGGATGCCCCACTTTCCTCACTGTCCTGGCCTGCACCCTCTACTCATTTTTCCAAAGATGGAAAAGTGGAGCCTTGGAGTTGTGCATGGGTGAAGGGTGGCATCTGGGACCCTCCTTGCGCCCACAGGAAGAAGATGGTGAGAAATAGCGATCCAGGCTCATGGCCACAGAAGTCTGGTCCTTCTTCCATGGTTTGGGCAGCTCCAGGTGACTGGACAGCCCCCACGGCTCTCCTGGGGTACGGCTCCATCTTGCCACCGCTCCTGATGGCTTCCTCTTTTCTAGGACGTGGAGGTCAGCCCCAAGGTGGAATCCGTGTTGTCCCTCCTGAATGCCCCAGGGCCAAACCTGAAGCTGGTGCGGCCCAAAGCCCTGCTGGACAACTGCTTCCGGGTCATGGAGCTGCTGTACTGCTCCTGCTGTAAGGAGCTTCTTCGGGGGTGAAGCCTGAGGGTGGGAGGCTGGGCATCAGGGCCCAGGCCAGCTGGTAGAGCCGGCATTCTCCCGGGCATACCGTCTGCTCCCCAGGGCTACAGGTCATTTCTGGAAGCCAGGATGGGCCCTGGTTATGGGGGGACAAGCACACGTGGCTTGGTTTGGTGGGGAGGGTGGTCTTGAGCACTGCTATAGTCTTTTTTTCCCCTATCCCTTGCAGGTAAACAAAGCTCCATCCTAAACTGGCAGGACTGTGAGATGCCAAGTCCTCAGTCCTATAGCCCAGAGCCCTCATTGCAATGTGCGGCCACCCAGCTGTATCCTCCGCCTCCACAGCCCCCCAGCTGCTCTCCTCCTTCCACGGACTCAGCAAGGCCGGTCAGGACACAGAGCAAGGGCCTCTTGCCCTGAGCAGCCTGGATGGTGACTGCAGATAGGGCAGCCAGACCAGCTCCCCCAGGAGTTCAGCTGGGCCTGAGACTTTGAGGGGTGCTGATGGGAACCCCTCCTGGGAATGATGTTCTTCCTTTGAGGGGGATTCTTTGCCACAGCAGGGCTCAGATTCCTGCCTTCCACAACTGTCATGGCCTCACCTGGAGCGGAGAGGACCTGGGGACCTGGGGACCTGAAGGTGGATGGGGATAGAGCGTCTGGCCCCTCCTGGCGCTGCCCTCACTGTCCCCCCACCTGAAGGGGGTGCTGAGACTCCCGTGACCTGCAGCAGCGAGGGCACAGCCATGGGTTGCAGAGGAGACAGGCAGCATGACGTGGTCATTCTAAGACCTCCCCCCTAGCCTGGCAGACTGGGGAGTTCGGGGCAGAGGCCAGTGCCAAGTGCCATATCTTGCCACAGTGGATGCTCTTCCAGTTTCTTTTTTTTATTAAATGTCCTGCTTCCTTTGGTTTGCTTTGCATCTTTGGAGGTGAACCTGGAGAGGGATGGGAGGCGGCCAAGTGCAGGAGGTTGGGGGGCGGGCTGAGGATTCGATTTGGAGTGGGTGGAGCCTGCCCAAGGGACTTGGGATGAGAAGGGTGCCAGGGACAGAGTTTTGGCCCTGCCTAGCCCAGGGGCCTCTGCAAGCCTGTGTTGGCCAGGAGGGAGGGAGAGGTGTTGGCCTGGCTTTGACCCTTGCCATCCTCCCTCCATCTGGCTGCCCCCAGGCAGCCTCTAATAGGAACACATGGGAGGTATTTCAGAGGCCCAGGTCTGGCCCTGGCCCCCATATGGAGATCTGAGATCCTCTGGGAGCACCCCCCCACCCCGGCCCCCTGCAGTTGGGATCTGGGGTGGGAAAGGCGAGGTGTGGGGATGAGGTGGGGGGGCAGCGGCAGCCCAGGGACGCCAGGCAGAGGCAGGGGTGTTAATTACAGTACACCTTTATTAATACTGGAATCTTCACAGTGCATCTGTTACTTGTAGCAGTGACTATTTAAATCAGGGGGTGGATGGTGTGGAGGGGGTAGGGAGGAGAGGAGAATTTTTCCAAAATCTGACAGAAAGAAAAGAAACAAAATGGTTCAGATGGGTGGCGGGTGGGGAGGGGGAAGGGTGAGTAGGAACCAGGAGGGCTGCCTGGGGTTGGGGGGAATAAATTAAAAAAAGGAACAAGTTAACAACAGCACCAGGAAAGTTACTTCAGTCAAAAGATGCTTTTGAAAAGCATATTTCTCTGTACAAAATGAGAAATAAAAGAATGTAAAGAAGTCCCTCAAACCAAAGTTTGTGATGTGGGATGGTGGGCTCGGATCCCAAGGTGGGTGGGCCTACGAGGTGGTTGCTAAGATGATGAGAGGGCGGGGTGGTCTCGGGGATGGTGTAGAGTATGTACAGCCCCCAAGGCTCAGAGGGGAGGGGGATGGGAGAGCTGGTGGGGGCTGCGCCACGCAAGCCCCCCTCTCTGGGAAGCCCCTGCCTCCCTTCCCATCAGGACCTCTGAAGCCCAGGTCTGCCCACCCACTGCCCCTCACACTGTTCCCGCCACATCCTGAATCCTGCTCCACCACCCACCTGCCTCAACAAACCCCCGCAGCCCTGGGGAGAATATGCGGCAGAAATTCCACCCGAGACTCCCCAGACTGGTCACCTGCTCTCCTGGCCCCTAAAACCAGGGATCTGGTGTTGGCCTGAGCTCCACAGGCTGAGTGCTTGCCTGGCCAGGCAGTTCTTGGACACACTGACTGACAGGGACCGTTCTCCATCAGTTCCCTCGGAGGGGACTCTGTCCACGTCGAGGCCTGCTCGGTGCCTGGACCTATCCAGGGTCCCAGCTCATGGCACAAGAACTCCCAGGAGCTCAGGCCTGGGGGGCTCAGACCCAGCTCCATTCCATCAAGACCAAGGCTCTCCTGATCCCCAGGTAGGACCCCACCCTGGGCCCCCAACGTCCTCTGAGCCCTGCTTTCCCTCCTGACCTACGGGGCCACCAGGACTCCCTCCGCTCGCCCTAGGCTAACATGCTTTTACCTGCGTGACTCGGTGCGTGGGGTGGGGCAGCCTTGCCCCTTTCCCCGACCCCACTGCCAGCGGAAGCCTGGACTATAGTGGGGGCGGTCCTGGGATGGCATCTCCTCTGGCAACAGAGAGTCAAAGCCAATCGTCCCAGCCTCGCTCCCTGACCTGGGCTTGCAGCCGGCTCACACAACAACAGACAGGCCGGGGGCCCGCAGCCCTATTTTGGCTATCCTCAAGATGCTGGAGAGAACAGTAACTTCCCCCCCACTTTGGGGGAGCCATGTCCCTCCCTTCTCCTCCTGCCACAGAACCACCAGGCCACTGGGGGGGCCCTGTCCCTCAGGCACTCCCAGACACACACCCTGTATCGTCCCCTCACCCCACACACAGTCCTCATCCACAGTCAGCTCCATTTTATTACATCCATCAAATGACCCCACACCACCTACTGCTCCAGTCCCCACCTCCACAGGTGGCTGAAACTGTGACCCCCAAAGTCAAAGGATTGATATGGCCAATGAGAAGTGGACATCTGAAAACGGTGCCTTCGTGGCTGACCAATGACCCCAGGGCCTCCGTCCTCCTAACCCTGTTGCCCTAGTTCCCCAGGAGCTGCCCTGGCCCTCACTCCCGCCAGCCTCACGGGGTGGTGGGGGGCGAGGGGTGGGAGCCACCACAGGGCCCCCGAGATCCCCTAAGCAGCCCCGGGTTTCCTCCCTGAGACTCGGCATGGGCCCTGGAGGTCCCTTCCCCCATGGTGGGGCCTGGCCTCCCAACTCCAACCTGTTGCCCCCGCCCCCAGCAGACATCCAGCCCAGCACGCACCTGGCCCCTCCACAGCTGACCTGCTTCTCAGAGGGAGAAGGTCCTGGGAGAGGCAGAGAGAAGGCAAGAGGGGAGGGGGGGCTCAGGCACGGGAGAGGAGAGGCCGGCATTCTGGGAGGAGCTGAGGCAGGGCCGGCCCTAGGGGCGGCCGGGATGGTGAAAGGGAGGCCAGCCCAGCCCCTCCGTCGTGGGCCGGCCCTGGCTCTGGTGCTCATGGGTACGGAAGTGGCAGGGCACGAGAAGAGGAAGAGGAGGGGCAGAAGAGCATAAAACAGGCCCCAAACGAGGCACGAGGCCCGTGCCCCAAACGAGGCCCAGGCTTGCAGGCTCCCTCCTGGTGAGGCTTGTTAAGAAGTTGCTTCCCGTTTAAACGCTGGAATCCAAGCGAGGCGTCTCTTTCCTTCAAGCGGCACCGCCCCTGCCCTGGCTCTGTCCTCTCTCCAGGCTGGGCCCTCGCTGAGTGCCTGCGGCTCACAGACCAGGCCACCTCTCACACCAGGGCCTGAGAGGATAGGGAGGGTGGCGCCATCATAAGATGCGGGGCGCCGACCTGTCGTTGGTGACGGTCCTGCGGAGCCGGACCCCACGCCGGATAGCCACGAGCATGTCTTCGGCTGGGGGGTCGCTGGTGGCGGCAGGGGGCGGGGTGGGCGTCTCCTCCGTGGGGGTGGCCGACAGGGCGGTGGGGAAGGGGAACTGGCCCTCGCCCAGTGCGTGGGCGCCCGCCACCAGCTCCCCCAGCTTCTCCACCAGGCTGTGCCGGTTGGCCGCCAGCTGCTGCTGCTCGTCCTCGGCCCCCGCCCCGGGGTACCCGGCTGCCTCTGCGGACGGGCTGCCCCAGGCTGTGTTGGGCAGGCTGAGCCTCTTCGGGGAGGCCTTGGCGAGGTCCGGTGCCAGGGGCGAGGCGGCCTCGTCGGTGTAGAAGACACACTCCTCGCTTCCCGCCCGCGTGGGCCCCACGTAGCCAGGTGAGTCAGGCACCGTGGGCGTCTTCACAGGGACGATGGGCGGCCGGATGGGGATGGGGCCAGCGCTGGACAGGGCGCGGCGCACGGTGGGCTTGGTGGAGGGCGTGCGGCGGATGGTGGCCACGCCGGGGGGTGCGCCCGAGGGCAGGCCGGTGGCCGTGGGCAGCCCCGCGGTGGGCAGCCCGGCGGTGGAGGCGGGGCGCTTGGTCTGGATCAGGCGGCGGTAGTTCTGGGCGATGTTGCTGTTGCGCGGGATGGTGGATGACTTGTCGAACTCCGTCGGGCCCTCGCTGTCCGCATCCCCGTTCACGGAGTAGCAGTCGTAGTCGGAGCCTGGGGGCACGGGACACAGTGAGGCCGGGGCGCAGGTGGCCCCTGGCCCCCAGCCCACCAGGGTAAGCACGGAGGGGGAAGGAAGGGGCCCTCCTGAGTGTCTCAGTCCCAGCCCCACGGGCCTGCCTTGGGAGGGAATGGTGTCCTCGGAGCAGGAGGGCGTGGTGGTCTGCGTGCTGTAGCCGCTGGAGTACTGCAGCGAGTCCCGGCTGCTCTTCTGGTGCTCCAGGCTCAGGCCGCGTGTCAGCACCATTGCTAGGTCACTGGCTGCAGGGGACACCTCCTCGCCATGCTGAGGGTGAGAAATTGCACCCCCAGTCTCCTCTGCCCAAACTCCAGGCAGCCCAGCCTGGTAGTTGGAGCTGGGCCTGAGGCCACTGGCTGGGCCTCCTCACACTGACCTGGGAGTGAAGTGGGGCCCTGGCCGGCCTACCTTGGCTGCGATGGTGGCAGGGGACATCCGTGGTCGAGGTGCTTCTTCCCCGCTGGGGCCCAGGGTGCCCCCACTGGCAGGCCCTGGCTCTGTGTCTCGCAGGAGCTCCACTCGGTCCTTCCTCCGCTGCAGAGTGGCACCTGAGGGCTGCTCATGGGAGCCAACCTTGGACCAGTCCTGCAGGGAGGGTGTGGCAGGTCAGGGGGTCCCTTGGCCCCACCACCTATGGCCTGGGGGCCCCTCACTGTCACTGAGGCTCAGGGTGTCCAGGGCTATCAGGGTCCTCTGGTTTGCAGTCACAGCCAAGGGCAGAGCATGGAGTGTGACTGTGACTCCTCAGTCTCACCAGGCCCAGGGGTTAGATGTGGCTATGGGCAGGGCCTGCAGGAGGTGGCCAGGTGGCCTGTCTCTTGGGGACAGGTGGTGTTGTGTGCACCCCTGGCTGAACCCAGGCCCTCTGTGTGGTGATGGCAGCAGGTGGAGAGGGCATGGGAGTGGCAGCTGGTGACTGTCCTGGGGCTGGGCTGGGAGCACTGACCGAGGTAGGGGAGCTGCACTCGCTAACGGACTGGCAGGTTTCCGAGGCCTCGGAGGATGCGGAGCTGGAGGACTTCTGCCATGCAGAGGCCAGCAGGCAGTTGCAGACAGACAGGGACCAGCGGGTGGCGAGGAGGAGAGGAGAGAACAGTTCTGGTCACAGAGTTGGCATGCAGGGATGGCTCCATTCAGCGCCTTGCCCAGCGCCCACACCCCACCCCACCCCTGTCCCAGGGCCACGGCTGCTGAGCATCTTCAGCAGAACGCAGCAGCCCAGAGCACACACAGTGGGCACTGACCCACCCGACAGTCCAGCCCATGACCTGCGCATTTTAAAGACTGACCACAGGACTCACTGCTGATGGCCTGGATATGGCCAGTGAGGGGAAAAAGACTAAGGGTGGTAGCTGGGTGTTTGGTCTGAGCAGTTGGGTTGATGGTGTCACAGTTTTCTCAGACAGAGGACACACGGGGAAGTGTGAAGCCCTGGGTGCCACGCTGAGCGCTGAACTGAGCTGCCTGTGAGGTCTTGTGCATGGATGCAATGCAGGCCGTCGTATTCACAAGCTGGAGTGCAGGAGAAGTTGGAGTTGGAGCTGTGAATGCAGCAGTCTTGGGGTGGGATGAGGCCACCTGGCAGCGAGTGCAGTTAGACAGGATTTGAGGGCTAGGCCTGCGGCTGCTGATGGGCGCAGCTGGGAGGAAGTGAGTCCAGTAAAGGAGAGCAACGGAGCAGGCAGAGAAGTGGGAGGAGAACCATGAGCAGGTGATGCCCCACAAATCAGGAGAGCCTGCAATGCAGAGCAGGGGACCCACTGTGCTGATGCTGCTGGGGGGGGGCATCCGCTGGGGGTACAGGGTGTCCATGTTGACCCCGAAGAGAACTGCCTCCATAGAATGGGGTGGGAGAAGCCTGTTTTAAAATGGACTGAAGTATGAAAGGGACACACTTGCTCTGGGCAGTAGGGTGGGCTAGGTGTGCTGGGAGGCCTGCCACTCCTAAACAACTACAAAGAAAGAAAAAAGCAAGGTAGACACAGGCCCGTGAACTGCTGAGCATGTGTGATGGGCAGGGTTCCCTGGGGCAGGCGCCGGCTTCAGTACAGCGGTGGGGACATGGAGCACGGTGAGGGTGAGGCATTAGCCTAGGAATGAGCCAAGGTAAGCCAGGGCAGCCCCCTTCCCCCAGCTCTCCGCATCATTCAGATTTAGATCCTCAGATCTCCTGCAGATTCTAATGAACCAAGATCACCAAGATAAAAGGAAAGCAGGCACCCCTGTGAGGATGTGGAGGAAATAACAAGTGCAGACTTCTGGCAATAGGATGGGTAGAGTAAAAGCTCTAGATTTTTTAATGATCGCCATTCTAACTGGCGTGAGATGGTATCTCAATGTAGTTTTGATTTGCATTTCTCTGATGACCAGTGATGATGAGCATTTTTTCATGTTTGTTGGCCTCATGTGCTGGGGAGAGACAGCAAGGGGAGAGATGCCAGATGTAGGTGATGGGGAGGAAGGCAGCAGATCACACTGCCATGTGTGTACCTATGCAACAATCTTGCATGTTCTTCACATGTACCCCAAAACCTAAAATGCAATAAAATAAATGGGGGAAAAAAAACTCAATGGATCACTATTTACAAGTGACATAATAATATATGTAGAATATTAAAAAGAATCTACAAATTATTACAGTTAGGGATTAACATTGTAACAAGATTATTGGAACAAAGTCAGAAAAAGACAAATTGAATTTCTAAATACCAGCAGCTAACAGGCCAAAAAAAAAAAAAAATCCACCTGAAACACCAATGTAATTTATAATAATGTCAATAAACACCAAATACCTAGGGAAAAAAATTCCAATGACAGAGATGCAAGATCTTTACATAAAAACTACAAAACAGGCTGGGCATGGTGATTCACGCCTGTAATCTCAGCACTTTGTGAGGCTGAGGTGGGCAGATTACATGAGGCCAGGAATTTGAGACCAGCCTGACCAACATGGTGAAACCCCATCTCTACTAAAAATACAAAGATTAGCCGGGTGTGGTGCTGCATGTCTGTAACCCTAGCTACTTTGGAGGCTGAGACACGAGAATTGCTTGAACCCGGGAGGCTGGGGTTGCAGTGAGCTGAGATTGTGCCACTCACTCCAGCCTGGGTGACAGAGCAAGACTCCATCTCAAAAAAACCCAATCAACAAAAACCTCTACAAAACATGATTGAGAGCAGGTAAAGCCTAAACAGATGGAGAGCTATCTGCAATTCCATTCACATCCCAGGAGCTGCTTTTTTTCTTTTGATGGGAACTGACAAGCTGATCCTAAAAGTTATATGGAAATGCAAAGGGCTGAAAATAGACAAACTGGTACCAAAAAATAACCAAGCTAGGGGACTTCTATGACCAGATACAAGATTTTCTGCAAAGTCTAGCCATGCGCGGTGGCTCACACCTATAATCCCAGCGCTTCGGGAGGCTAAGGCAGGTGGATTGCTTGAGATTAGGAGTTTGAGACCAGCCTGGCCAACATGGCAAAACCCCAATACAAACAGTACAAAAAATTAGCTGGGTGTGGTGGTGCACTTGTAATGCTACTCAGGAGGCTCAGGCATAAGAATTGCTAGAGCCTGGGGGCAGAGATGGCAGTGAGCCAAGATTGCACCTCTGTACTCCAGCCTGGGGGACAGAATGAGACTGTCTCAAAAAA